GACAGCAACTTGTCTGTTCCCCTTCCCCCAATTCCCCAGCACTGTTCCCATACCCCCCAATTCCCCAATAAAAATCTTTAAAAATAAATAAATAAATAAATAAAATAAATAAATAAAATAAAAGCAAAAGGAAACCAAGAAGGGAATTTTAAAATGCAAATTTCTTAGGGGCCGGCCGAGTGGCTCAGTTGGTTAAGAGCTCGCTCACGAGTTTGAGCTCTGAGCAACAGCGGTTCGATTCCCAGTCTGAGCTGAGCAGCCGCTGAGCTGCCAACAGGTGTCAGGATGGCTCAGCTTAAAATGCAAGTTTCTTGAAAAGCTGCACACATAAGGAAACCCTTGTGGTCCGAGTGTTCTAGAACAGAGACTTTTCAAACTGTGGGTCACAACCCTTCAGTGAACCATGAAATTAATTTAGGGGGTCACGACCAGCACTTTTAAGTGAAATACAGTAGAAAATGCTTGTGTAACACAAAGTGAGATTTTCGTTTTGATTTATGAGTGTGGTCAGGGTTACAATATCAAGTGTATTCCGTCCCAGGTTTGCTAGTTCACCTACCTTGAATGAAAACAGATGATCACCTGGGGGATGGCTGGAGGTGTGACCAAAGTGTGAGAGGTGACTCAGCCCCAAGGCACTCAGGACTGAGACCTCAGACACATCATGTGATGCCTCTGGCCTTTTTTTCATCTGTTAAGTGGGGCTAATGCCTATCCTTCCTGCCTCGCAGGATTGGTATAAGAAGCAAGTGAAACGGTGCTCTTAAACACTGGTAAGAACTGCATAAATATAGAGGGTGCCAAAAATATATGTATACATATTTTATGAAAGAAAAAAACTGCATTAACATTGTAATAATATATACCGATAACAAAAGATGAATGCAAGTCATGTGTATACATTTTTTTGGCACCCCTGGTGCAAATGGCAATGATTTTTATTCTCAGTAAAAGTGCTTGGAACTGGCAGTCTCTCTCTGGGGCACTTAAAGAATGTAAGTCAAGTGTAGAAAATAAACCCCATGCCTTTGGAAAACCTAGTGTTTTCCCACAAATATTGCTTCCACACTACCAACTGCAGGTTGTTTCTAAAAGACAGGGAGGTTTACGAGTCCTGGCAGCAGCAGGGTGGCCTGTGGGCCTCTGGATTTCACTGGAAGGGGGGCTCTGTTCCCAAGGAAGTCTTCACCCCTGGGCCCAGCCTTAAAACGCCTGACAACTGCACAGCTGACCTGCAAACTCTGTGCCCGCTGCCTCCGGGAGAGAGAGGGGGCCTCCTGGTAGCTGAGTGGGAGTGGGGTGTACAAGTTAATGTGAACCCCAGGGGTGAACCGACACTTCGTCCCTGGGAGGAAGTCCATTTTACAAATGAAGAAACTGAGGCTCAGAGAAGCATGTGAACTTATATACGGCTGCGTTCTTCTTGAAGATGATGAGCGTGTTCTTGCTTCCTGAACACCTCTGATACCATCCTGGGCTCAAGAAATGGGCGTCTTTGTGCTTGAATTGGCAGAGGCTGCCTTTAGGTAGAGGAATGGGCTGTGTGGTCTCAATGAGCCACTCAACACCATTCTAGACTCAGCTTGTAAACTCTTGGGAAGAGTGCAGCCTGAGTCTTGGCTCCGCATCTCTGCTCCTTTCTTCTCTGGCACTCCACGGCACACCTGGCAGCAGACGGCCTCTCTCCCCTTCGCCTCTGATTCCTGTTCTTGGGAGCACCCTGGCTCCTGCCCAAAGCAGAATTGGGTGGCCTTAGCAATAAGTGCAGGAGTGAGGAGAGGGTATTGGCTGCATGAAGGAACTTTTGGGGTGAAAATGTTCCCTATCGTGATTGTGGCATTGGTTACATGTTACAAAACCCTTTGAGTTATATACTGAATTGGTAACTTTCACTGTATGTAAATTATAGTACGTCTTCAATGTCGTTGATAGGCTCTGGGACTTAAAGTGAAGCAATGGATAGCGAAACCAATTTTTATCATAGGTTAATTGATGTAAGCAAGAGTTAAGCTCCTATAGCATTTTATCAACGTTCCATCGAAATGCTGTTCACGGATCTGCTGTGTAGCTCAATAGAGCTGATTTTTAAAAACTCAAAGAATGTACAGTGGGAATATGTGCATTCCTTGTATGTAAATTCTACATCAAAAGAAAAAAACTAAACAGTTGTTGAACTCTATTTAGTGATATGTATTGGGTTGTTGGAAAAGTCATGACGTATTTTTTGTTTTTCATTGCAAAAATGCATCATGACTTTTCTGACAACCCGATATATACTGAAGGATCTAGGGACAAGTGTATTGATGTCTGCAGCTTATTTGGAAGTGCATTAAAATAAGGCATGTTAGGGCCGGCCAAGTGGCGCGATGGTTAAGAACTCGCTTGGGATGCCAGAGGGCCCCGGTTCGGATCCCACATATGAGGGCCAGTGACACTGCCCTCCACAGCTAAGATGCTNCCATCCAGAAGCCGGCGACTGATCTGCCTCGCCCGGAAAGAGTGCAATGATGGTGCCAACTTGGGCCAGTGAAGCAACATCCTCCACAACTAGATGGAAGAACAAAACGACAGCAACTTGTCTGTTCCCCTTCCCCCAATTCCCCAGCACTGTTCCCATCCCCCCAATTCCCCAATAAAAACCTTTTAAAAAAAAAGGCATTTTACCAAGATTTGGAAAAGTGAGGGGCTAAGAACATTTTAAAAGCACTTCATTTGAAACAGTGATTTTTCAAGCCACATGTAAGATCTTGCTAAATCAGAAGGCAACAAGAAAAGAAAGACTCTGCTGTGAACACTTGCAGTTCAATATAAGAGGCCACCAGATGTCCTGAAACAAAGAAGCCTATCAAATAAAA